AAAAAAAAAAAAAAAAAAAAAAAAAAAAACAGTCCTGCAGACAGTTCTAGGGTTACTCCATTCTAAACACCTGGTATGTTTTGTGTTCCTAAATACTCTGTTGTCCTTTATAAAGTAGGTATGCCTTCTTAAAGATCTTATTAGAATTGTGAATGCTATTTTCTAAGGAATTATTTCCTGAAGTTAAAAATTACTTTCCTTATCTGTCTATGTTATCCTTTATAATGCTTATAATGCTTTCACTAATTCCCAGTCTGGAGCACGTGGTGTAGTTTGGTTTTTTTTTTTTTTTTTTTGTGGCAGAGTCTCACTTCTAGTTTAGGTGGACCTTGAACTCATTCTGTAGCCCAGCTGGCCTTGAACTTATAGAGATCCTCCTAAGTGCTGGGATTATAGGCATTGCCACCGTGCCCACCTCCTGGAGTTCAGATTTTAAATGTCCTCTAAAGGTCCATGCTTGGTCCCCAGCGTGGCACTGTTGGGAGATGTGGACCCTTTAAGAAGTGGGACCTAGAGGGTCTTTAGGTCATGAGGGGCTGTCACACCCTCAGAGGGATAGTGGGACCCTGGTCTCCTTTTTCTCTTTGCTCTACAGCCAAGAGACAGTTATGTTCTTTACCATGCGCTCCCGCCATGATGTACTGCCTCACCACACATCCAAAAGCAACCGGGTCAGTCATGGAACCTCCTCTAAAACAGCCAAAATAAACCTGTTCTTCTCCTAGTGATCTCAGATCCCTGTTACAACCACAGAAAGCTTACCACCCCGTTTGCTGCAGCAGTGATAGGAGCAGGAGATGCCCTGGTGGGAGATCAGTGATCCTAATGCATAAGCTCCCTCAGAGCAGAAAGGCAGTACCTATGATCCACAACACAGACAACCAAACACCCTTATAAATGGTGACTTTCTTCAGAGTTTAAATGCAACCATGCTAAAAGTACAGAACTAGCAAATTCCTAAAGAGTAATCTTCATGTTCAACAGCAAAGCTCAAAACGAGGAAACACAGTAACAAAAGTTAAGGTTAAAGCTCTTTTATTGCAAAGTATGTATTGAAACTATGAGGACTGCCCTCCTAGTGTATAAACTGCTATCCCTGGTGGTTTTCTTCTATAGTACTAGAACATTAAACTGGAGCATTAATTAAGTACCCCTGGGGTCCAGAATCTTGCCTATGAAGAGAAGGGCCCCTGTGTCCGTGTCCCTCAGGACAAAGATGAAAGGTTGGTTCAGGTGATAGTCCAGGGGAAAGGTTTGTTGGGTAGGCTGAAGGTCTGGGTTGATGGTGATTCCTTCCCCATCCTCATTCCATTCAAAACCAGCCCGGTGTTCCACTTGAGTAAGCTTGATGGGTTTCCCTGTGATCTTGCTAAAGTCAGGTGACTCAAACAAGGATTGCAGCTCTGCAAAGATTGAGTGATATTCCCATGGAAACTCTCCCTTATCCAACACCCCAACAAAAAATACAATCCTGATTCTTATTTTTTTGTTTTTTGAGTCAAGACTGGCATTGAACTAAGTGTGTGGCCCCGGGCTGGCTTCAAATTTGTGGTGCTCCTGCTTCAACCTCCCAAATTCTGGGATTTTATTTATTTATTTATTTTTTGGTACCAGGGATCGAACTCGGGTCCTTGCACTTGTAAGTCAGGCCACCAAACCGCTGAGCTAAATCCCCGGCCCCCAAATTCTGGGATTTTAAGCATGCACCACCACGCCTGGTTTATGCTGCTGCTGCCCAGTGCCCAGACTCATCCTGACTCAGGAGGTACCACAGAGTCAGCCCCACTGCCTTCACAGCAGTCATTGAGCATCTCTCCCAAAGGCTGTGGCTGGTGGTAACAATCTTGATTCTTAAATACTGATTCTCAAGAAGGCAAACAAGCCGAAGGTGGTAGTGTATGCCTATAATCCCAGCACTCCTGGAAGCTGAGGCAAGAGAATCATAAGTTCATACTCAGCCTGGGAAATTTAGCAATTTAGCAAGACTCTCTCAAACTAAAAAAATGTAAATAAATACAAAAAAAGCCTGGAGATGTAACTCTGGACAGAGGCCCTAGGTTCAATCCCTAGTATCACCAGAGGGGGAAAAGGTGGGACAAGCTGGAAGAGAAGGACTGTTTTTGACCTGTGAGGTATGTAGCACCCTGAGCTGGTAGGGAGGTAGGTGACTTGCCCTAGAACACACAACAAATGAGGTTTAGATTAGAAACCGGATGACCCAGACCTGTGTTCTGAGCTCCTGTTGTAGGACTACTTGAAGGTCCAGCACTGTTAGAATGGAGCAAGCATCCAGGACCTCCCTACCAGGCGATAGGGCCTTGAGTTCTTCTTGGTACAGTGAAGGCTCAGACTCAACCCCACCCCATCTCCAAAGAGCAAAAGGGTCTTGCAAACATACTCATCTCCTTCAAGGACTTGGTAACTTCGCCTTCAAAACTCAGCTTCAACTTGGGGATACTCAGGACTGCTTGGATAGTCTTCAGTTCTCGGTTTATGTCATGAACAAACTCAGAGGTGAGGCTCTCTTCTATCATGGTCAAATTCTGGGTCACCCTCATGGGCAGGAAGAAGATGACACTCATGCGTCCAGTCAAGGGCAGCTGGGCAATCTGAACCAATGAAGAGAAAGTGTGTGAGTTATCCCATAGAAGCCCAGGAGCCCAGGGATGAACACACAGCAAGATCTGCCAACTTACTGCTCATTTCTATGTGCAGAGCACCGGGCTAAAAGTGTTGGGTACAACAATACAGAAGCAGCAATAAAGTGGGTCCTTTGAACAAAAGCTCTTGACCCAAGGCTTATGGAACAAATACTGTCAGAAGTTCCCCAAAATCCACATACAAGTGTGTCCATGCGTACAAATGGCATTTCTCTTGTATTTCAGGCACTTTTGTCAGATTCCCAAAGAGAATGTTAAAAACTGCTAGCTTAGAATTCAAGGAAGTCAGGCTTGGAGTGTAGCTGGTAAAAGTTACCAGTTACCTAGCATGTATGAAGCCCTGGGTTCCAGCCCTAGCACTACAAAAAGGCATTCATAAAACCCTAGAAGGCTAGCAGCATCATGGAGATTGTGAGCATTTTTCAAAATTTGGCACTTGATTCTAAAAGTAAAAGGTCTCAGGAAAAGACATCAATATCTGAGTGCCAAGTCATGAGGACCCATTCCTTATTTTAAACCCTAAGTGAATAATTTTTGATACTATCCCTTACCCGCTTCTAGGAGGAAAGGCTCAGAGAAGTTAGTAACTTGCTCAAAGTTACGCAGCAGGCAAAATTCAAACAGCTGTCAGATCTCCAAGGTCATTCCATTTTCTTTCACACCTTTCTACCTGACTTGAACCTCTCCCACCACCCACACCGACCTCACCCCTCCAGACCTTGCAGTTGAGATCAGTATCGAAGCCATAGCGTAAAGTGGCCTTGGGATTTGACATCATGGGGACTTTCACAGTCCTCTCCTCATCCAAGTGGAAATCCTGGAGAGAAGTCTTTCCGGAGTCAAATTTTGTTACCCACTGCCCTGGAATGAAATGACAGAGTGTCCTGAGCCCCAGATGGCAGAGAGACCACAGGATTGTGTTGTCTACAAGGCCTGTTGTTGGAAATCACCCAGCTAAAAGAAACTCAGTCATGAGGTGCAGCTGCTCTATCTCAGCATGTGTGGTTTAGGTGCCACTGTTTCCAGGACCCTGAATACCTTCTGCAAGCAAGCTCAGTTGGAAATAAATTGATGGGGATGATTTGACTCTGGATTGTTAAGCTCCTTGGGTGTCATGTGGCCTTCAGTATATTAGGCCTGTGACTGTTCTTTCACTCCCTGGATGTCCGTGTTTGAAGTAGAAAGCCATTTGACTTCTCCCTAGTTGCACAGGTGGTCTGTTATTGCTGCTCCGTGACAGGTGTCATGGAGTTTTTGGTTTTTTTTTTTTTATTTTGGGGTGTTTTATTTGAAACGGAGTCTCGCTATGTAATTCAGACTGCCTTGAACTCACTATGGAACCAGGCTGGCTTCAGATTCATGCTGATGGGGCTCCCCACCCAGAGTCACAAAGCATTTTAAGGGAGATGTTGCCCAAATCACCCCACTTCCAAGGCCTCATTTGAATGGGGCTGGCCTCACGTGAGGCCTGTCAAACAGCTCCGGGCACCTCACCACTGCCTAGCTGAAGAGTACTGATAGATAATTAACAATTGCTTCCTAAGCACTGTTGTGTCTCAGATACAGCTGTTGTGAAAACAAAGTGTCTATGGAGGAGGATGGGACTTTCACCTTAAAGATGAGGAAATGAGCCCAGAAAGGCTAAGAAACTTGTGTACGATCCAGCAGCTCATAAAGACAGAGTTAGGACAGAGTTAGGATCAAAAGTCAGAAACTGACCACAATACCCAGCCCCAGTTAGGCCTCTCACAATTTGTAGATACTTATCAAACACTGCAGACACTTGGTAGATGATAAGCAGATGTGTTGAGGCACATACAGTTCTTAGATCCTCCTCTGGCTTTGCCCCTGGGTTCATGTTGGGTAGGGTCTTTGACTTCTCTTTGTTAGCCCCCTCTATACCTGCTGGCCATCTGACTTTGGCCAAAGTGGAGAAGCCCTCACCCTTGAAGTAAGCCACGCCAAGGAGGAGAATGCTGATCTCACTGGGCACTTCCTTTGTAGACCTGGGGATTTTCCCTTTCATCTGGGACTGCACCCAGTTGTTAATCTCTTGAAGGTCAACTCGTGGGTTGCCAGTCAGGATTCTGGGCCTGGTCGCATATGACTTTTCCAGTGGTGCAACAAAGATGGATTTTATCCGCAGCTCTGAGAAGAGGTGGAGCAAGATTAGTGCAAGAGAGCTGAACCAGCACCCTGTGTTTGAGAGTATGGCAGCTTTAGGCTCTGGTTCAGCACTCAGCAGGCCCCAACTTCCTGCCCAGCATCTTCCGGTGACTCACCAGGACTTCTGCCGGCTTCCCTGGGCACCGAACAAGGAACAATTCATTTTGCCCACTGCTGTTCCTCTTCATGTTACTGCCCTCCCCATACCCACCTGCTGTCTCCACAGCCCACTTCCTCTTTCTGATCCTCTTTGGGCTCACGGGCCCCTTCCTGCCCACCAGTGCCAGGCCTGGCCTGAGCACATATCATCTGTTGTTTAGAAAGAAACCCCCAGCGTAGAACATAGAGCCCCAGGCTCTCCGGCAGCCCAGGCCAGAAAGATGACTGACTCCTCTCAAAGACAATCCGGGAAGCACTCTTCAGGTTCTTCTGGGGGGCAGTGACAGTGGCAAGGAGTTCCTTGTAGGTTCCGTGGATATCAGGATTGCTGATCATGTCATAGTAGAGAGCCCGGTAAATAACAGATTCTGTTCGCTGTTCTGATCCTGCCAAAGAGACAAGGATAGAGCCTATATAGTCAAGACAGGCCTCCCCCAGGACAGGAATTCTATACTCCATTTTCTCTGTTGGGAGCCTGAGTAGGTGGATATTGCAGACCTGGTTCAACAAGGAATTCAAGGGCAATGGAAGAAAACAGGGACTTCATTCTTAGAGATTTTTACTACAGTGGGATAAAGGTGTCAAGCCTAGAGAGATAAGGCTGGGATTCAAGTCCCTGTATTCCTCCCACTACAGCACCTACACTGTTGTATAGTACCTTTTTATCAGTGTCCTCTGTGAGCTCAGCCCTGACCCCACTGAGGTGAGCCTAGACTTGCCGGTGGGGCTTATATCCCTAGAACCTGGGCAAATGGCTAGCACATAATCGAGGCTCACTGAAGAAAAGAATGAAGGATCCAGGATTTAGCTCAGTGGTTCCGCTGCCTGCCTTACTAGCGCAAGGACCCAAGTTCAATCCCTGATGCCAAAAGAAAAAGAAAGGAATGACTATTGATGTCACTATGTCAACACGTGAGAATTTGTGTGCTGACCTCAAGTTCCCACGTGCACACGCCACAATCCTGCAAGGCAGCTTCCCAGCACCTCTTTGCCTCCCAGAACCATGCCTGTGGCCCTTGGGCTGTGGCTGTGCACTCACCCAGCGAAAGGGCAGAGAGGGCTGTGGCCACACTGAGCGGAGACAGCAACACGTTGGAGGTGGGACTCTCGATGGATCTCAGCCGGTAAAGGTCATAGCCAAAGTTGGAGACAGCTGCTGCCAGCTTGTTTACAGGGACCTTGAAGAAGGGGTCCTCCTCCTCCACTGGCTCCCCTGTGCTTTCAGGAGCCTGGGAGGAGAAAGGAAGATCTGGCTTAGAATTAAGGGACCAATGGAGACAAGCAGAAACAGTGTCCCCTCATGGCACCGAGTGGGCTTGTGTTCTGGCCCCTGGGAGCTCTCCTTCCTAATTTTGGTGTGTTCAGCCCAAAGTCAGAGTGATCTTGTGCTCCCTGGTTATGTGTGAGCTCCCTGCTGGGGAGAGACAGCCTAGAAAAGAGATTAGCTGGCCAGGTTCAAGCACTTGTGACCTGTGAGCCACAAGCCGGTAACACGCACATTTTTTTTTAAGCAGCTGGGAATCTGGCTCAGTGGTTGAATGCATGCTTGCTAGTGTGCATGAGGCCCTGGGTTCCATTCACAGTTCAAAAAAAAAAGCAAAACAAAATCGAGGCCCTCCCTCCCCTGGGAAACCCCATACTCAGGCCACAGCAAGCTCCTGCTGCCTCCCAGTTTCTTCCTAGAACCTTCCCAGGTTCTTCCCAGGTTCCTCCCATCAAAACCCACCTTGACTTTCATGAGCACAACTTTTCCACCAAAACAGATTTTTCCTCCCTAGCTGAAGGAAACTTTCATTTTTCTGACCTCTTCTCAGAGTCAGCTACTACCTGCTTACTTACTAGCCACCCACCACTGTGCCAAGCTCTTTGCTAGTTTTTTGTTTTGTTTTATAGTGCTGGAGGGTTGAGTCAAGGGCCTTGCACTCCACCACTGAGCCACACCCTCAGTACCTGCTAGTTCTTCCTGACTCACTTCGATCCACTTGATGTATTTATCTAATATACCAGAAGATGAATATCTCAAAAGAACTGACTTCCTCAAAAGCAAAATGTGGGGCTGGGGATTTGGCTCAGTGGTTCTGCTGCCTGACTTACAAGCACAAGGGCCCAAGTTCTATCCCCAGTACAAAAAAAAAAAAGCAAAAACTGAATCTTTTACATTTCTATTCACCCCAGCACCTCCAGAGTAGGTATTCAGATGAGAAACAACTGAATGGCCACAATGCTTTCTAAGAAAACAGAGAGTGATTTAAGAGTGACTTGTGTACTGTCACTAAGCCAGGAGATGTAGGACCAGAATTCAAATTCAGAACCCACAACTTAGTCCAGGGCCCCTGCTAATATAGCCTAACTGCCTTGTCCCTCACTGTCACATAGCAGGGGCTTCTCTCCAGATGTCTGTCTGCCTTTTTGACCTGACTGTGCCCTCACTGGACAGCAGGTGGTTTGTCCACACTAATTCATCCTCTGCTGGACCCCTGGTCAGTATCTGAGTAAATATCAGAGACCACTGCCCACTCAGCCCCACAAGTAGTACAAAGAACTTGGGGAAAGCTCCTTACATAAGAAGGGGTAACTCCAGACTTGTTTGAGTACTTTGGCTTTTTAGACAGGGTCATACTCTGTAATGGTCTTGAACTCATTAGGTAGCCCAGCCTGACTTTCACTTGTGAACCACCTGCCTAAGCCTCCTGAGCACTGGGATTACAGGTTTGTGCCACCACTCCTGGTTTTAGATTTTATTTTTGTTCCAACTTTGTCCTCTGAAAAGTGCTGCTGGAGAAACCAAGACCCTGGAGGAATAAAAGCCAGAGCCCAGCTTGGAACCCAGGTACAACCTCCCAGGCCCATCTTCCACACGGCCTGCCGAGGAAAGGCTGGGACAGCTCATGCCCTCACCCACCAACCCCCACTGACCTCTGGGCTGCTGGCAATGTTCTGGCAGCTGCCATGCCCTAGCAGGGCTCCAGTCCAGAGGAGTAGCACGAGGACCTGCATCCTGAGCCTGCAAAAGAAGCAAGAGGTGCAGGCCACTTCCCTTCCACACCATCCTGGGCGGGAGACAGAGAGAGCAAGCACCTTCCTTCCTGCCTCCCAAGCCTGGACGTGGACTCAGCTTACAGACTGCACCCCCCCGGCAGTTCCCACCATGCACCTGCTCTCAATCCAGTCACACCCGGAACTATGCTCTGGTCTATGGCCTTTGTCCAGTGACCCGTTTTGGAACCTAAGGCTCCAGAGCAGTGAAGATCCTGCAGTGGGCTCCTCTGCATGGACTGTGGCCTAGCACAAGCACACCGTGAGGCTTTTCCCTGGAGGTACCCTGCCAGCTCGTTTGATAGGATTCGGAGCCCTGTCTCCTCAGACAACAGGCAGAACCTGGGTCTCAACCCTAGAATCAGGGAGTATCAAGAATGGAAGCGTCTATTCGAACACCTTCTGTCCCCCATCAGTTCTCAAGCTTCTTGGGCTCCTCTGGCCTGAAACCCGTGGCCCTACACTGGCACTCATTGCCTTCTCATTTCCATTTCAAAAGCTCCTCCGCTAATGGGTCAAAATGCAGGGTGTACATCTGGGTTTAAATTTCTATTCTAGGTCTTAATTGGTCTGTAAGTAGTAGTTTTTTCCCTTGTAAAATGTAATTAAAGTAGTACTTACCTATTATTATAAGGATTAAAAAATTAACCAGTATCTTAAGCAGCACTTAATTCCAGAGATCAGTAAGCTCTCAAACGATCCCAAACCAAATATGTTCCTTCAAAGAATCCCACGGTCCCCTCCCCTGTGGAGCCACGTCCTCTCGTTTCTCCCAGCTTGAAAATAGCTCTTAAGGCCTTGGAGCCTTCCTTCCTTCAGGTTGAACTACTCTTGTTTGTTTGTTGTCTGGTCCTACTCAACTACATCTCTAACCCTTTTTATTCTTAGTGCCTTACTAAGTTGTCCAGGCTGGCCTCAGACTTGCAGCCCTCTGGCCTCAGCCTCCTGAGTTCCTTAGATTACAGACAAGCGCCACCACACCTGGCCAGCCTGCTTCTTAGTAAGACTCTACATCCCTTCACCTCACCTCCTCAGTGGCCCCTCTGCCTACCTTGTGATCTGCCACCTGGACCACAAGGAAAACTCAAATCTGGGTCTAGGTCTTTAGATGTTCCTGCATTCACCTCATCTGTGTTCACCCTGGAATCAGGTAGTGGGGGAGTGGCAAAGACAGTGGGGGTATTTACAGATAGCACCCCAAGAAGCATTTAGTTACAAAATCTGACAAGGCCTCAGCAGCCAGAACTTTGGCTGGTCCACAGTCTTCCTCCACCTGTCCTAAACCTACCGCCCCTGAAGGTCTCCTGGGTTCCATCGCATCCCTTCATATACACAGCAGCACTCCCCCATGAATACAGCACCCTAACTTCTCTGATCCCCCCAAAAAATTGGGCCAGAAAAGTGAGGAGCGCAGTCTGTGATTGTCAGTTGAAGTCCTTAAAATTAAGTCTAATAATCCACCAGGTGACATTGTAGTGCAAGAAAGGCAACAAAGAAAAGATCCCTGAGTTTGTTTAGCTTAAGTCAGTACCACTAACAAGAACCAGCCCAGCTTTCTAAACCCTCCTCTGGCGCCAACTGGGAGTTGAGGGCCTCCTGTGTTCCCAGTCAGCTGCTCTTCCACATGGCTGCCCCCGCAGCTCTGGGAAGCTCACCCCTTCAGACTGCAAGGAAAGTAAGTGTTCCGGGCAGAGAGAGACAGAGACCTCAACACTCAGACTCACAGATGCTCTCCACCCGGCCAGCTCTGCCCAGAGCCTCAAGGGACCGGCGTATTGGAGAATGAAAATTCAGTGCGATGCTCAGGAGGCAAGGCTAGCGGAAAAGCTGTCAGCTCGCCCCAGCTGACCTCTCGCCGGGGTAGGGAATTGAAAGAAAAGGGAAAAATGATCAACCTGGCATAGTATTTAAAGAAACATCTTCACCCCAGTACCAAAAAATAAAGAAACAACTTCAGGGAACAGTTCAGATGCACTTGAAAATGAGACCTTCCTGAGTCTCTGTGGAGCCTAAGCTCCAGATCGGTGTAACTGATCATTGTCACTACATGGGTAAAACTGAGGACTGGAGATTAAGTGAGGGGACCTGGTGGGGAAAGGGACAGGGTGTAAAGCGGGCCCAGAGCTAGATGCAGGAGAGGTAGTACTAATGGCCACGACTTTGAACCCTCCACCTCAACCCATAGAGACACAGGGTGTGGGAGACTAAACCCCATACCAGTACAGACAGAAGGGGACTAGAAACCAAGGCCCTGGAGTACACACCAGGACCTGTGCAAGGTGACTGTCCTATAGGCTGGGGCAACCATTGGCTGGCCAGGGGCACAGGGACAATGATACCATGCTGTCCAAAGGGCAGGATCTGAACCAGACTCCTGGCCTGCTGGGTGGGGGAGAACATAGGCAGTGGATAACCTGGACTAAGGTCAACCTTCCTTTCTGCCACTATCCAAGAGGTGCAGGAACTGAGAGATATTGGGAGCTTGCATCCAAGCTGGGAGGATAAACATGAGCCAGAACATGTGTTTCAAATTAAATCCAGCTGTGAGACAAACACCATGGCTCCTCCTCCCCTTCACCCTCCCCCTCACAGAACCATACAGCCTTCAAGCCACAGAGCAACAAACTGTGGACAGTGCAAGGGAGGGCACCTCCCTCCCACTCCCCTACCTCGGGAGAGTTTCCAGGGGTCCTCTCTGGCCCACAGCCCCCAGGAAACATCTTTTCTGAAATCCTGGAGTCTAAGTGAGTCAGGCCAAGACATCCCAGAATCTACCAGCCCTGGGACTAGAACTGCCTGGTTCCTATCCCAGCCCCCCTCAGGCTAAGGACTGAACCCCGGGTGGAGAGCCACAGGCCAGACAGTGGTAGGTTTAGAACCCTGAAACTTTTCTTGGTCTCAGACTACTCCCTGCTGTGGCTCGCCTCAGGGAAGGAAAAGGGTCCCCAGGGAGCCTAGTCCCCCAACTCCACACACTGGCTGAGCTAAAGGGTGGCCACTGTTCACTAGGGACCAGGACCTCTCTGTCTCCCAGCTTTTACTCACAATTCACTGGAGGTCCTGGACAGAACACCCTGGCTATCCTCCATCCCAGCCCTCAAGCAGGGCTCAGCAGCCAGTTGCTTGGTGGCTTTGGGAAATAACCTTTGAAATCAGCACCAGTTGATTTGTAAAAAGCAGGAATGAGAGAAGTGAGAGGAAGCCAGGCTGGGCTACAGGGCAGTCACCCTTCCGACACCCCTGGGGACACATCTCTCAGAGGGTCCTTCTCTTGGGGCTGAAGCCCTTTTTGAGTAGCTGCTCAGACCTGACCTAGAGCTTAGCTCTCTGCTTCCACAACCACCCCCGACTGTTTCCCAGTCACTTCATTCAAAGTCCTTTTGTGTCTGGTTGCAGTGGGTCCTCAGGGAATAACTGGATCCTGGCCTTCGGCTCCCTCACTCTTTCTGCCCTCTCTTCCCCACTCACGCTGGTACCCGTGCTGCAGGGGCTACTCTCCCCCACCTCTTCCTTGCATGCCCTTTTTACTGTTCCCAGGGTACCGCTGTCTCTCCCAGTCCACTATCTCGGGGGCCCCTCCTGTCTTACGCTGAGCCACAGACCAGACCCGGAGCTGCTTTACCTGTAGTTCGCTGTAGCTCTACTCCCGGGTGTACTCCAGCTTCGGTCTCCTCAGTCTGCACTCCGAGGGGCTCCAGCAAGCACTAGAGCTTTTATAGCTGCTTCCCAACCCAGCCTCCAGCAGGCTTCAGATTACAACTACTTTTTCCTTTTTTTTTTTTTTTCTTTTCTTTTCCTTTTTTTTTTTAAACAACTATTCTTAAAGAGACCTGCACGTAATTTGGATTCTGCTATTGCATCATTGTCTGGAGTTAACTTTAACCCACTGCTGTCCTTTCACCCCACACCCCAAGACTCACCTGTTTGTATAACTTTCTCCTTTACCAGGCCCTGGCGGCCCCGGACTTTGTGGACTTCCTGCAAGATGGCCAACCCCAGGTTACCTTGGCCAGCCTGGTGTCTTGCAGGATGGGCTGGAGAGGTGGGCAAGTGGAGTAGAGAAAAACATCAGCCTAGTATGGAAATTTAGGTTTGGGGTTTTGTTGTTGTTGTTGTTGTTGTTTGTTGTTGTTGTTGTTGTTATTTTTGAGACAGGTCTCCTATGCAGTTCCAGCTGCCTTAAATTTGCAGCAGCCCTCTTGCCTCAGCCTCCTGAATCCTGGGATTACAGGTGTGCACAGTCATACTCAACTGGATTTGAGGTTCTTTTTGGTCCCTGGCCCTGACACTGAGTAAGGTTTGGGGCAAGTTAACCTTCTGGCTCTTCCCTCTTTGGCTGAAAAATGAAGGAATGAACTGAAATTGTCTACATGCTTTTTCAGCTCTGAAATTCTGTGATTTCTGAAGACCAGAATGGGCACTATGGCCCAGAGGAGGCCTCCAATAAAGTTACCCAAAAGGAAAACACTGGGCCCAGATCACCTTGGGATATTTAGAAACTTACAGTGTGGTGTGAAAGTAAAACATTAGCTGAGCATGGTGGCACACACCTGTAATCTTAGCACCTGGGAGGATTGCCTCAAGTTTGAGGCCAGTTTGAGCTATGTAGTGACACCCTGTCTCGGGAAAAAAAAAAAAAAAAAAAAAAAAAAAAAAAAAAAAAAAAAAAAAAAAGAGAAAGAAAAAGAAAAGAAAAACAGTGAAATGAGAGGTAATTAAAGACTACAGGTTGAATACTCTTTATTTGAAATGTTTAGGACTCAATTTCAAATTTCAAGGCCGGGTGTGGTGGCACACGCCTGTAATCCCAGCACTCGGGAGGCTGAGACAGGAGGATCGCTGTGAGTTCAAAACCAGCCTGGGCTACACAGTGAGTTCCAGGTCAGTCTCAACTACATAGTGAGACCTTGTCTCAAAAAACCAAAAAAAAAAAAAAATTCAGACAGAGTCTTGCTGTGTAGTTTAAGGCAGTCTCAAATTTACAGGGATCCTCCTGCCTCAGCCTCCTAAGTGCTGGGATTACAGGCATGAGCCACCATGCCCAGTTTTAGACTTCTTTTAGATATTGGAATATGTGTGTCTACATAATGAGAGATCTTGGTGATGAAGATCCTCCTGCCTCAGCCTCCTAAGTGCTGGGATTACAGGCATGAGCCACCATGCCCAGTTTTAGACTTCTTTTAGATATTGGAATATGTGTGTCTACATAATGAGAGATCTTGGTGATGAGACTCAAGTCTAAACAAAAAATTCATCTTTGTTTTATATACACCTTATACACATAGCCCGCAAGCTATTTTATATAATGTTTTATAATAATTTTGTGCATGGAACAAAGGTGTTTTTTTGTTTTTGTTTTTGTTTTTGTTTTACATTAAACCATCAGACTTATGGCATCATATCATTGCTCAAAAACTTTCAAATTTTGGAGCAATTCAGATTTTTCGATTAGCTATCCTCAACCTGTGTAAAAAAACGTTTCTAAGCAAGTATGAGTCCTGGCTGAGAAAGCCCGAAAGTCATTCAGAGAAGAGATCAGGGGAGGAAAGGGTAGGTGTCCTGGCATATTGAGCTCAAGAGAGAGGAAATTTGGGGGAAATTAAAAGTTTTCTCTTGGGGAGCAGACCTAGGTTCCTGGGTAGAACTTTACAGAGAGCAAAGTTGAGCTTTATGAGAAGAAGAGTCAGTCAGAGCGCAGTTCCTTTGAACTAAAAATTGTGCAGCCCCTCCTCACTCAGTACTAGGCTCTCACAGGAGGAGGAGCTGGACATGGAGAGACTCAGTCTCCCTCCAGGAACTTGCTGGCACATAACCGAGGCTGATGGGAGCGTGGCTCAGTCCAAGACAATGTGGGACAGTCTGTGATGGCTGTCTCCACGGCTGCATGGCCCACCACAGTCACACGAGCCTCGTGTGGCTACAGAGCACAGACTGGAAATGCAAACTGAACATCACATTTTGAACACTCTGCATAAAAAAGGAATGGAGGCTGGGAGAGGTGGCGCACGCCGATAATCTCAGCACTCTAGAGGCTGAGGCAAGAGGATCACTGTGAGTTTGAGGGCAGCCTGAACTACATAGCAAGACCTTGTCTCAAAAAGACAAAAAAAAGGACCGAGGATTTAGCTTGGTGGTGCTGTGCCTGCCTGGCAAGTACAAGGTCCTGAATTTGATCCCTAGTATAAAAAAAAAAAAAAGGGAATATACCTATCTCAACTATTTTTGCATTGATGCTATATATTGAGTTAAATAAAATTTTCATCTCTCTCTTTCTGTGTTTCTCTTCGATCTCTCTTTTTTAGTGCTGAGGATGGACTCCCATGACCTCGCTCATGCTAGCCAAGTGCTCTACTACTGTGTTACAACCCAGCCCATTTATTTTTTAACAAATATTGTACTCAGGTGGTTCAACAGAAAATACACAGTAAAAAGTCTTCCTCCATTCTCCCTGCAGTCAGCTGGTGTTAATCTCTTTCCTATGCATCTTTTCAGAGGTACTATTGATCTAGATGATATAGGGGAAATAGATGTAACTCCCAACCTGCTAGATATCTGCTACACCAAGTTCATGTTGGCAAAATAAAAAAAAATGTATTCTAAGGAACAAGGGAGGTTAAGAGTGGAAAATATTTTTTGAGGGATAGGCAGCTCCTGCCTGAGAAGGACAGAAGGGCACCCAGTAAGTAGGTTGTCTTGGACCTCACTTACAAGGGAGGCTTTACAGAGCAAAATCACAAGGTGGGTACAAGGTGGGACAAAACTATGATCAACCAATTAGATTACAAGCATACAAGCATAGTCACCTAGGTAATACTGATCCAATGGGGAAGCAAGTCACGTAGCAAGTGTACACGGAAAGAACAAGGACCTTTCCTGGAAGGGATGGGTCAGGAGGTCTTGGTCCCCCACCCAAGGGGACTGATGCTGATCTAGAATATCAATCATTATTGTTCATCCCTTGGGGAAGTATGTGGGTATAGTCATTTCATCTTTATCTTAAGGACTTGCCTTCAATGAATGTTCCTCAAACCACAGTTGTTGTTTTGTTTGTTTGTTTTTGTTTTCATTTTGTTTTTTGAGACAGGGTCTCACTATGTAATTAAGACTGACCTGGAACTCACTATGTAGCCCAGGCTAGTCTCAAACTTGCAGTGATCCTCCTGCCTCAGCCTCCTGAGTACTGGGACTACAGGTGTGCGCCACCACACCCAGCCAAACCACAGTTGTAATGTGTTCTTATCATCTGCACTGACTTCTTTGAGGGCCTAGCCCTGACTGCCTGTAATACTTCTAACTAACTTAGCTGTCTGTAATATTCCTCCCTCTGAAAAGTTACCCCTAATTGTTAAGAGTCAAGGGGCAAAGACCGTTCTGGCTACTTCCAGCTGAAGGGGATCATAGTTGTGATTGGCAGAGACACTCTATAGAGGGTCCACCTAAAACCGCTTGATAGATGTCAGATGTGCTCTTCTTGGGCAGGTGTATAGCTTTAAGCCTGGAAGAGCCAAGAAGGAAGAGAGAAGTATGCATGGACCAAATAATAAGATCAACAAGATGATTGTGAGCACAGCCGACAAAAGTTTCCAATATAAAGAGCCAATAATACCCTCCCACAATGAGGAGAAGGAGAAGGTACAGGAAATTTTAGAATCTGACATTGCATTAACCTGTCATTTAATGTCTTGAACAGTCATTGAGATATTAGCAGAAGGATCAGGAATGTATACACAACATTCATCTTTTATAATTGCACAAGTACACCCTTGTGTTGCTGTTAGAATATCTGATGCCATCCGATTTTGGAGAATGGCTTGCCCCATTAATTGTATTTCTTCTATCAGGAGAGAGAGACCAGTCATGGTGTCACTTAAGGCTTGTTGAATACAGTTAGCTAAGGTCTCCATGTGTTGCATGATGCCCTTAATACTAGGGAACAGATAAAAATAGAAGCGAAGTGATCATACCAGTGAAACACAGTTCTAGACCATCGATGATGTAGGTGGGGTAAGTTTGTAGGTTTGTTTTTTACATTCCGGCCTTATAACCACACAAATCCCAGTGTGCATCTCCCTATCCAACGGGGTGGGGGGAGCAGGGCCACAAATTGATTCCACAGAACCAGTGAGTGCCACTGGGGGTTCCCATCTAATTCCAGGGTGATTAAACCAGTCTGTTGCAAGTCAGTCTTTAGCCTGTAAAGTTATAGTACGTAGATACTGTTTGAGGAGTGTCGTAGAAGACATCTCTTCCCAGCATTAGCAGGCTGTAGTGACACAAGCTTCTTGCCCCTCCATAATTCAGCTGTGTTGCACTGGGAGTAGCAGAGCTTGGCTGAGTTCACTCCCAGTCAAGGTGAACTGACTCCAACTAAATTCTTCCCCTCTGAATTAGCTGTTCGTTCTCTTCAGCAAAGATAAGCTTGTGCCTCATTCTATAGTACCGCCTGCTTGACACTTGTTATCAGCAGGTGTCCCAAGACCTGCCCAGCTTCCCCCTTGTCCCACACTTATAATGAATAAAGACTTGATGTCCTGGGAGTCTTTTGTCTTGGCTGCCCAGAGCAGCTTAGATCAGCCCAAGACTCAGTTTATCTCCGTGTGTTTCTTCTATTTCCCATTTTCCTATCTTGTGAACATCCTAATGGCTTGCAGGAGACCAGGACCACTGCAGGGGTCTCTGGTAAAATCCCTTTTCCATTTCCCTTTCCCTACAGGGGTCCATCCCACATATTT